CTTCGTGGTCCTGTCAGGCAACGTGGCGTTGTTTACAACGCTGAGGCTAAAAGCCGTTCCGAACGCTTAGGATACCGTGCATAGCATGGTCCAGAATAATGGTGTGTTCATGGTCGCTAGGCTGTGGATGCGGTTGACCACTCTGGGGGATTAGGACTGAACGTCTCTAAGTCTGAATCCCGTCCATCGAGCATAGGTAAATTTCGATAATGGTTTCAGGACTTGTTCTCTATCATTCCGTAGTAGCAAATACGTTGAAAGGGATGTAGCTTTCCAGGATGATTGAAGGCGGCCCTGGACTTTCTGTTTGGGGAAGGCGCCGTAGACATCCTGGACTATTGACGCCGACCCTACGTGGTTGTCCCTTACGCTCTGCACCCGGTGTAGTGAGTGAACTGGCGTCGAGGCCCCTCAAACAAGGGTCTCCAACGCTGAAGTGGTACTGGACGCCAATGATGTTTGCCCACTTATGTTGTGTGATGAACCCTGTTTGGCTGAGCGCTTGCACTTGGTCGAGCTCATGACATCTTCCTTATGGAAAGGTGTAAGCTCCAGCTGACCTTGTGGGACAAACTCCATCTTTAGCTTCATGTGGGGCCTTGCGGACTCCGATCGATTGTATCAGCGCAAGGCAGTTGGAGACCAGACGGTTGGAACGGCTGCTGGCTAGTGCACTGCATGGGTGGGTCGGTTTTCCACTTCGGGGTGCTAGGTCCAGCTGGGTAAGCCCGCCCTGCCGATTGGGGTTTGTGGGTAGTAGACTTGTTGGAGGGATCTTGTTGATTCACAAGTGCCCGAACGGGGGCCACTGCTCGTGTGCGTGCTTTTTGGACGTCCACCTGTCTGCAGACCAAACTGGACAAAATGTATGTTCCCGATTGGGGCAGGGGTGATTTCTGTTGGCTCCAATGAGAATCCTTGTGTTGCCTAAAAAGCAGCGATGTGAATGTGCAGCAGGCTTGATGGTTAACCATGACTAATGTATGTAGGAAGCGAATTTACTAACAAAATGTGTACACCTTATCTTCAGTTTCACTTGCAAAACAATCAGACTGTTAGCTTTCTTCTTCAATAAATCTTTTGATCTTCAAAACAATTTAATCATGCCAAATATTCGGATCCGACACTCTTCTGTTCAGTAATAACTCCTGGATTGTGCTCCACTTCATACTACTTATAAGCGACGTTGCGAGTAGTATCCATCACATTAATATGGGGTTTTATTTATTAGTGAACGACTAGCTGTATTTTCATTCATCATGTATACTATGGTAATAAACATTTAAAATTACTATAGTTAAGATAAAATATGATTCATTAATGATAAAACTAAGAATCATATCTGTTCGTGACAGTAAAACCGGTTTTTCACAACGATATGTAAGGTAATATTGGTGAAAATAAGATCAACTTTTTTCGCCAAATATGGTTTGCTATTTTGTTTGATAGTTAGGACTGTACAAATGACAAATTTACTACTCCATCAAAATCAACACTGAGTTACACTGAAAAAGACCGAAAGGTAATAGCTTTTTTCTATGGATAACATATAACCACACCGACTGTAATACACGCACATGGGCGATGATAGACCTTGATTTACAGTTCATTTTTGGTAATCATCCTAAACACTGACAGAAAAATTTACTATCTAAGTTGTGGTGTAACTTAACTAACTCATTTGTTTTGCATCGAAATCAGGGTAAAATATTGCTTCATAAATCTGATTCTTAGTGTATATATTCTCGATATAATCTTCGGGAAAATATTTAGATGACATGAAAAATGAGAATTAAATACATTTTATCAAGAAAATAGTTTACTACAGACACTATTCAGGTAAAATCGCTTTCATACCATAAATATTTCCCTAGTGGGGATTCCACTAAAATATTGTCGCTATAACGTCACTTAAAATGGTCACAATGTGATATTTAATTTCGACGTGAAAAATTGTCATTTCAAAGTTTACTACTTATAAGTAGCAAAACATATTTCTTTCAAGTTTTAGGATTCTACCTACCATCTGAAAATTAATGTGTGAATTTCCCTGGAATATTTATCAGTAAATCACTTAATATTAGTCTAAGTACTGGAAAAGTGTAATCTCCTTTGAAATTCTCCAAGTGTTGATTATAAAACTGATTGTATTTAACTTTTGAGAGCTAGTTATGAATTGAGGGGATTCAAGTTAGGATCTATTATAAAAATTTTCTTTAAAAAACTGATCTTCGCATTTATCACATGTGTACTAGAATAAAACGCAAATAAGTGTGCCAAACATTACTCATACTATTATTAATTTATTACTATAAATAATTACAATGAACTGATAATTTTACTCTTGCAAATTTCATACATATATCGTTACGTTAACAGTATAACAAAAAGTGAAACTATTCGATGTTTTAATGTGAAGAGATGTAATTAGCTCGTAGAATAACGTTGGCAGGAAAAGTAGTGAGACCAGATTAGATATACTTACAGGTATTAGAGAGAATCGCTCCATTTACCTACAAATCAGTATGCATATGCTTTAACTTTTCGGCAATTCGGGCAGGTAACTACTTTTAGGGGAAGGAAGTCTTATAGTAAACATAGTCTTCAAGACAGATTTTCAGTATCCTGGAAATAATTGTTCAGTAAGTTTATTCTTTTGCATGAATAAGTACTATATTTAACATGGAATTATATAATATCCAAGCCTATGAGGATTAGGGGGTCATTATTAGCCACGATTATATAATCATTGAACACTGTTGTGCAATGATTGAGAAAAGGCTCTTTTAAGCTAGCTAGTGGAGTGAATAGGGTGCTCCTTCAACTGGATATTATTGTATATTGGATTTTTAATATTCAAATATTTATCGCTTGTCCAAAGATAGACTTTGAATTATTTGGGAAAGTTTAAATAACTGCAACAAACTGAGCCAAAGAATCACTTTTAGGGGATAAAATAAATGATCACTTACTAGATTAAATATTAAATGAAACATTTGTGATTTCCAAAACACGTCTAGTGAGACTAAAGAAAAAACATTTATTAGATGAAAACTAATCATTTCTTAGGTGATTGCAAAGTATGTTTCAACATTCGGGATTCTTTGTCCTAACATATTTGAAAGTAACTTCCACAAACAGGAATAGGAAGTATCTGAAATATTGTTCTTCGGGAATATCATAGAACCATCCGAGCTGCTTAACTTTACTAAATGAATCTGAATCAAACAACTTTAACAAAGCACCTGAATATCTATTATGATTTAGATTTAAAGTGTCGTTGTGCTTGAGATCAAACATTTGTTTCGTTTATACGATTTCCAGATAAACTGAAGATTTCAAGGTAGGGATATGTGCCTTCGATGAATTCAAAAACCTGCATGTATTGTTAGTAGGTATTTCTAAAATTGTTAAACATGAAAAATAACACCTACATTATAACTAAATGATCTATTGATGTTTAATATTCAATTTGTCATGATTGGAGAAGACAGAAACTAAGAAGAACCAATCATTGTTTAGTATTGTATGAAATAGATCTGGTCTTATTGTTGTTTATTATACACAATAAAATATGAAGTGAATTTGAACACAAATTTATTTGATGAATTATCATGAAGATTTTGTGCATGAAAATACTAATAATTTGATATAGCGAATCAGAATAGCACTACAATGATTATCAATATAACGATGTTCAATATGATGAATTCTTTGAAAGAATGTAATTTTAATAATTTTGCAAGAGGTTTTAACATATGGTAGGGAATACGAAGCAATGTAATACTTGTTTCTTAAACCTGAATTGTAAATGCTCTTTTGTATGATTAAAAAATAATATTTCCTTTAAACCTAGTTAATTAGTAATTAATTCCAAAATTGTAACTACAAATTATAATTTAAATTTACTTTAATTACTAAGATCTCTTGCATACCTTGTTGTTTTATAAATAAATAAGGAGAATAAAGTCGGAAGTTAAAATTTTGATGGTATCAATTTTTTCAATGAAGTTTGTTTATAGGTTGAATAATAATGTGGATTAAATCAAAACATTTCACTGGATACTAACTATTAATAGTACTTTAAACATAATTTTTTAATGTGTTCTCATACCATGTCACCCAGCATGACTAATCTCTTTCGTGATCATTTTAGCTATAATTAATTAATTGATTAATGATTTCAAATGTGTAATAATTAATTTCATCAATTTACTATCTATCATGTTGAATTGTTGTAGTATAGGAGCTTGGATCGTATGTTTATGATGACTGATTACACGCATGAAAAATCTGTGAGTTCAGTAGAACTACATAAATCCAGAAAAAAATTATTCATGATAAACCGTCACCATCATCATTGCTGTGTAGTTAAATTGCACAAGTTTAAAAAAAGTAAGTTAGAGATGAATAATAATTGAAGGCATAGCATTAGTTCATCAATAAATCATTCAGAATTTATCAAGTAGCTTTTAATACATTCAGACTTATTAATTCACAGTCACACAATTCATGATTGGAAACGGATGAAAGACTTCATGTAAAATCTGTCTTTCAACTGTTTGCCTATCCTTCTTACATTTGAAATTAACTTATTATTGTGTTGTGTCAATTAATTTTTACTTCTTAAATCATATTTTCTTTGTTTATTCTTTTCTACGACTACTACTACTACTACTACTACTAATGATAATCTCAATACTTCTACAATCCTGTGACAATGGTCATGATCATGTCGCTTATACTGACGATGCATATTATACATTGGTTTAGACTAACTTATTGACAATAAATATAAAAGAGTTTTTTACACTTCAAAACAAACAAACAAACAAACAAATAATTACACTACTCATGCATAATTCTAACTATAATAATAATAATAATATTTGTGGCTTAAAAGAGAAAAAAAAACAAAGTGGACAATTATTGGATACACTAATACAACAGAATGTTTCATTTCTAAAAAAAAGAAAAGATGTTGTTGACAAATAAATTGATAGTAGTAGTAGTAGTAGTAGAAAAGTTTTGTATTTAAGAAGAAATAAAATAACTGCCGACAGGGATATTTATCGTCAACAACTTATTCAATTATATATTACACAAAATAAAAACGATACTGTATGCAATAAAAACTTATCAGCCGTTCACAGAGCTAAAAAGAAATAGAATAGCACACTGTTAACACATTCAAAACGACTGATTTGTAAGTAGATGAGGAGAGAGAAAGAGAGAGTGAGAGAGAGGCAGTAGTGAAGTGTCGACCACGTTTGTCATGTGATAAAATTATAATTGTGACCATTACAAATAATAATAATAATAATAATTTTCTATTATTGTCATCAACTCGATGCATTTAAATTAGGAAGGAATAAACATTTTGCTGGCATGACTGCAAGATTACTATCATCTTCATGGATTATATGCAGGTTATTATTTTGAACAAGAGAAACATCTTTTACATCGAAAGAAGTTAATGGATAATCTGCATAGTTTTTATGATTTACAGGTAAGATTGGTGATAAATCAGGACTTTGAAATGACATATCAGTGTAACAGACAATTGGACTAGTAGTGTCAAAACGAAATTGTTGTTGATGTTCTTTCGGTGAATTCATTTGTGATGAGCAATAATCAATATAGGAATATTTACATTTGTAGTAATCAATATTTTTATCAGTATCATCGAAATATATTGCATTATCATCATGATCAATATTGTTTTGATTATGTTCAATTGTAGTTTGATTCAATGTATGCATACTAATGGAATTATCTGAAAGAAAAGTTGATTACATTTTACAAGTATATATATATATATATATATATATATATATATATATATATATATATATATAATTATATGAGGTTAAGCGTTCGCACGCGAGACCTGGGTTCGATTCCCACGAGTGAGGGTCGTGGGTGAGCATTGTTGATTAGTCTCATACTAGGAACTGACGGTCATCTGTTTATCATTTTCATGAAACTCAACAATATTCAAAACTGTATAATAAAATTATAAGAGTTTAATATGAATAAAGTCACTGTGGTAAGAACAATACTATTTAAAATGATGAAATGTTAGTTAGAAGGCTAGACTAAGTGTTTAACTAACGTATCTAACACATGATCGTGCACTCAGCTTTGAGTCATACTCCGAGTGTAAGAGCAACTGATACACTACTTCATTGCTAAAACTGAACTGGAGCAGGGTTCAAACATGCTGTCTAGCCGCTGAAATTCGAACACCTTAGCGTTACACGCAGAAAATAGCTAGTTGGAGAAACAAAATAATTACTAATACTAAGAAGATATGCTTTCAGAGAAACTAAGAAGAATACAAATTAATTATCTCTAACATACCTTGGTCTGTTAAATTGTCACCATCATTGTTAATATCACTGTTACTATCATCACTATCGGAACTATCACTATTCCCAACAATATTATCAGCCCAACTAATAGGTAAACACATTTGTAATGCAGCAGTTTCTTTAATCAATAGAGAGCTTGATTCATTTTTAGGAGAAAATTTATCAATACTGAATTTCAAATGAGAAGATTCATGATCCATTTGTGTTGATGATAGATAAATTGAACATATTGGTTGTGTAATTATAGATGAAATATTTGAATTATCGTGATGATGACTTAAATCATCAAATGAAGTTAATGTAATTTGTTGTTCATTCGATTCATTGTCATCTATGACAGTACAGCTATGATTGTAAATTTAATAAATCATTAGGTTAGAATAATAATATTCAATTTTACTGATTAAACAAATATGTTATCATAAAAAACCCATTTCGAAGGTTTGTTTTTAGGAAAATGAATGACGTGTGAAGTTCTGAGAAATCCTATTGACCGTGAATACAATAATTAATCAATTCACATATACTACTTTCAATGTTACTAGTAGTAGAAGAGTAGTAAAAGAAAGCGCTTGAATGTGTAGTATCAGAATAGTGGTGATGTGTCCCCAATTCAATACCTTCATTTGAATCGAAGGAGTTCGATCTATTTTCAGGGAGAAGTGATACAGAGGGCTAATCAGAAATCGGACAAATGATAAACAACCGCGGTTGGCCAAGAAATGACTAGAATTTCTGTGGAGTGAGACAGTGATCATTGATAGCTTAATTTTTCGAGAGACATGAAAGAGTACATATACATGTGATCCGGTTTAGTCAATCAATTGTCTCACAATCGGTCTTTTCACAACGGGCCAGCTAAGCTCGTGTGTAGGGAGACCGTGTTTCTCAGCAGAATCCGAAGTCACAACATGTGATTACTTGAATTCCCTCCTACAATCTATTCGATTTAATAAGTTACAATACTTCGTGTATGATTCCAACAAAAAAAAATGGTACGACCATGTTTGTCTTTTGAAAAATAAAATGGAAAAACACTATTTCTTTGATGAGCAATACTTTTTACTTACACATGATGTCGTGAATGTGTGTGAGCATTTGACTGATTGTTTTACAAAAACTGTACAACAGTTTTTCTATTTTGGAAAACCATCAACTAACTTAAATTAGCTCATTATCGAACACAAAGCTATCTATCACCATAATTTATGTTACATTATATTATATTAAATATTCAGATCATAGTGAAGAAAAACATTTGGTTTGATTGATTATCATTATTTTCCACACAAACTGAACATAACGTATTGTAAGATACATGGAAGCGATTGTACTACACTTTGTGTACACTTACATTTCAACATAAATGTGCACTTTTTTTTAAAAAAAAAAAAGCATGTAGAAACTAGAGAAATATAAAACAGAAAGTGCTTTTTACCTAGGTTCTTCATTTATTTCTGATGAATCTGAGAATAAACTACGTCGACTAAGAAAATGACGAGAATTTTTATGAATTATCGATAAAGAATTATTTAAATTGCAAGGAATCGGACGATGAACTGCACAAGCTGACAAAGATATACTATTTTTCAATGGAAACAATTTTTGTTGTGAATTTAATTTATCATCATTTGAAACAGCTTCATTTGCTGTTATTGATGATATAATGGAAGATTTTGGAATAGAATGATTTTTCATTGAATAATCCTGTTCAAAAGCAATTCGCATAACTGATTCAAAGTCAAATGATGGAGGCACAGAGATCGATGTTTGCACTGCAACTAAACAAAAAAAATATTATATGGGAAGATAGAATCAACAATGAACAAGTAAAATATACTTTTATCTAATTCGAGAAATATGCTCATGTCATGTTAAACCACTAGTCGTCAAATAACAATTATAGAAATTACATAAACGAATATAGAAATATTTTATTAGATGAGCAATTGAAATCGGTTCAATTTCGTATAAGATTGTACGTCAATATTACAGTCGATTCGATAAATCAGAAGATTAGATGTAACTAGTGAATTGGTGTTTTAATAATTAAGGTGTTCGACTTTCGACCATTAAGTCCCAGGTTTGAATAACGATTTGCTTGCTTCAGGTTAATAACCGAGTAGTATCACTATTAATTCACACACCTAGAATGTAATCCATACACAAACACCTGATGAATGAATCAATCTAATTAAATTTGTTAATAAAACAGAGTTTATCATAAATACATAAAAAACATTAACTGGTGATTTTTTTAAATTTTTATCATTAAAAGAACAATTATTGCAGAGGATATATGCGCATAAATTAATGTATTTTGGTATCAGATTTAACGTATGAAGCTGAACAGGACTTTCTGTCTACTTAGACACAAAATGGATAAAATGTGTTTATCTTCCATGACCAATCCTGTATACTATCGAATCATAAATCAACTTGTTTATTGAAAACATTTTCTTATACGCTGGATCAGAGTAAAACTCGGTGAAATTTTGCTACGGATGAAAATGTTTAGTTTTCTCTTCCACTTTTCACAACATAACAAATATACCGAATTATTTTTCCGATATTTAAATCTAGATTTTTTAAAATATTTGATGGTGAATAAAAGTAGTGAACTTAAGTTTTACGATATGCCTCAGTAACGTAAGAAATAACTTTTTTAATAACTTCCTTTTTTATGCATCTTGTCGTGGACAACTAGTTTACTAGTGATTTTTATTTACTGAAGAGAAATAAAAACGGCAAACGATATGACATCCATATGAATTCAAAAATAATGTGAATGTAAATATTAATGCAAACAAATACTGGCATGGCAGAGAATGTTTTCATAAAAATAGTCAATCAGTTAGTCATAATCAACGTGCATCCTGAATTCCCATGATATGTTAAGACGGTGTCATGACATTAACAAAATAAATAATAAGGGAATCGAAATAATGTAATTGTAAAAAGCAACAGAAAATATTAGGATTAGAGCTCGAAAGGACAATGAAAATATATGCATGAAAGAATACGAGGACAGAAAGTTTGGAGAAAAATGAGGAGCAAATGCGTCGGTGACATTATGAATGATTCTGAGCTATTTTATCCAACGTTTTCATTTGCTAATCATGTGAACTCCCACCAGCATGTCCGCATCGACCAACAAAACTCAGACCAATAGCCGATTACATTGCAGTCAGCCACCGATGGAGAGGATCGATAGAGGATTGTCGCTCGTTCTGGGGCAGATGTCAAGGTTCAGATCATGCTCTAGTGCGAGCGCGTATTTGTTTGCGACTTACAGGGCGTAGGAAAGACACCGTAAGGAAACCTCTTAGGGTTTTACTTAATGATAATCGAACTAAGAAAATATTTCAGGAGCAACTAGAAAGAGAGTTAAGCAACCATGTAAGCGATTCCCATCCGGAAGGCTCTGGAAACAGCAGTGATATCTGCTAGTGACGTAAACCATAAGGCTACGATGAAGCCGTGGATCTCAATAGCATCTACCGAACTGATGGATGCTCGAAAACACATCCCACCTGGCTCTGAACATGATGAAGAGCGAAGTCAGCTTAAGTGCAGGCTGATAAAAAGCCTACGCAACGACCGTGAACAGTTGTGGATGGCGAAAGCAAAAGCGATGGAAAAGGCAGTGGCGATAGGCAACAGTAGAGAGTTTTTCCGCCTTATCAAGGAAACAAGTATTAGGAATCCGACTGTAAGTGAGATTATCTCGAAAAGGGATGGCCTTATTATTCATTCTCAATCCAGGAGATTGGATCGATGGGCAGAACACTTCTAGGATCAATTAAACTGGACTTCAGCTACACTTCGGTTACCTTCGATCTCCAGTCATCCCAAACGGCGAATCCATTTAAGTCCTCGAATCTTTATGAAGTTGAAAAAGCTATAGGAAATCTGAAGCGAGGGAGGGCAGCGGGTCCTGATTGACTGACATCTGAGATATTTAAGGATAGTGGTACAGTTTTAGCAGCTGTATTAACCGAGATCTTAGGTAGAATCTGGGAAATGGACGTAATCCCATCTGACTGGTCCCAATCCTTGATTGTCCCAATTTATAAGAAAGGACAAAAGTCTTCTTGTTACAATCACAGGAGAATAAGTCTAACTAATATAGTTTCTAAATTGTTAGCCTCAGTTATACTTAGACGCCTAACTAGAGCGTGTGAAGAGCAGACTAGAGAAAACCAGGCTGGTTTTCGACCTGGACGTGGTTGTATAGACCACATCTTCACACTACGACAGGTCCTGGAACACAGACACACATTTAGACGTCCGACAAAAGTTGTCCTCCTGGACCTTAAGGCGGCATTTGACTCGATGGACCGCGAAGTTCTGTGGCAGTGTCTGTCATCGAAAGGTGTACCAAAGAAGTAAATTAACCTTATACAAGCTCTCCACTCGAACACCACTGATCTAGTGAGAGCCTATGGCGAATTGTCATTGGAATTCTCTACTTCAAGCAGTGTCCGTCAGGGAGGTCCACTCTCTCTATTCTTGTCTAACTATGTCGTAGACATGCTTTTGGACTTAACATTATCCTCGACAGATTTTTCAGGAGTAGACCTTTTACCAGGAGGATCGTTTAGTGACCTGGAATATGCCGATGACATAGTTCTATTCGGTGAAGACGCTGACAAAATGCAGTGTCTCCTGACTACCATAAGCAACAATGCAAGCATGTTCGCGATGCGGCTCTCACCCTCGAAATGCGAAATGTTGCTTCTAGATTGGCTTACAACGGCACCTAAACTAGTGATAGGGAGTGAAGTAGTTGAGCGTGTCGACCGCCTTACTTATCTCGGGAGTCTCATCAGTGCTGACGGCCTGGTGACTGACAACATCTCGCTCCGTCCTACTTTATAGATGTGAAACATGGCTGGTAAGAGTAGAGGATATTCGTAGGTTACTAGTATTCGACCATAGATGTCTTAGAAACATTGCTCGTGTATCATGGGACACCCGAGTAAGCAATGCTGCCATTAGAAAACGAGTACTAGTTAAGGATAGCAGATCAATAGACGAAGTATTGAAACCTAATCAGTTGAAGTGGTTGGGACATGTGTTAAGGTCTGAACCAATCAAGATGATGAAAACTTACTACCTAGTCCACCGACATCACTTTTAAATAGTACCTTATATTTAAAACTACAGCATTGTACAGTCAGTCATCATACGATACACAAACAGCTTGCGATCTATGCATAGCGTTTATTGACTTTTGTGGTCAGAAAATACACGACTGATTTACTATTAGACTAAAGAAACTATAAGAAGGATACAGAAATACAAAACAAACCTTTCAAGTTCTAAAATATAAAATTAACTTTATAACAATATGACGCTTCACTCTATTTACCTTCACGCATACAATTGGATGTATTTTCCAAAAGATATGAATTCTTTTTCTTTTTACCTAAAGGAGTAGCTAAATAAAAGGGAAAAAGGATGAAGCTGATGATATAACACAGGATGGTTAAAGGCAATATATAATAACATAAACGAATTGACATTGAAATCATCAATCAATTATTGTTACACTACGATTAGAAACCTGGAAGCACTAGACGGCTGTTTCATCCTGTTCCAGAGGTTGGGCGTTCGCGCACAAGACCGGAAGTTCTGGGTTCGAATCCTAAAAGTAGTATAAGTCGTGGATGCGCACTTCTGATGAGTCCCACTCCAGGACGAAACGGCCGTTCAGTGCTTGCAGGTTTTTAATAGTGGTCTAACAATGATTGATTGATGATTTCAATGTGTAAAACACTGATCTCCATAACTCTAACTGAAAAAGTAAACGAATTGGTCACTGTTAGACGAGTAGAGTCCTAACAATTGCATACTTTGATTACGTTAAAATCGACTCGCCTTCAGCTAATCCGAACTAACGAACAAATTTATGTGTAAAAAGATTCTATATAAACGCTTTGTTGAGTTCATTAGAATATAAATGGTTCCTTTAAAAGTTGTGCTGATTTGAGAAGAATCGAGTGAAGTACAGTGTCCGAAGAATATCAAACAGTAGAAAAATATAACAGTCTATGTTTGAAAAAATGTAAAACACTGCTTGTCATCAGTAGAATTTTCAAGACATATAAGGTAATATACTTGCACACTTCTACTTTACAAACATGGGTTTTGATCTGTCAGATAAACTGCAAAAAAATTTATTTTGAAAAATTAAATGTAACAGCACAAAATGAGAATCATGCCTGCTTGGTAGTCTTAACAGCTCAAACGGAAATTGCTGACGAGATGCATAATGATACTTTTACTGTTGTTAACTATTCATTTCAATCTTTTTATATTGTGTCAACCTTGATAATAAAATTGTTTAATGTAACACTCTAAGCAAATACATATTTTTGATAACTTTTCATTACATTTTACAATTAGAAGCATAAGTAAATACTCAAAATAATTGAAACGTTGTGGTTAAAACAAGTTTGCTGTCTGCAATTCGTTTACACATACTGTATTACAAGATTTGTAAGTAATTGTTTATAAAGCCTATTGGGGAATATTTATATTTGCAAGTGATTAATCACTGAGTATTGACCAACGTCAATTGTCTAGTTCTTCAGAGCTGAGTGAATCCCTATACATCAAGTTATAACGTGGTTACTCTTCGGAATAACATAACATTTTGTACACTGTGTTGACGTAATTGTTGGAAGCAGTCGACAGGAAACCCTGAACTTGGAATTTGTACTAGCTGGTACTCGTCAGAAAAACGGATTCGTAGTCTTGAAGGAACATAACATCTTAAACAGCGAAACTCAACGACATAAGTTTAGATATAGACAAAGAGCACCAATTTCTAAAAGTTTGCAGGTACAGCTTGTTGACGAGTACTAACCACTAGGTTGAACAAGTTCTCCTACCAGCTACTTTTAACCATTGTAATTTTTAATACTGATGACAAAACACATTAAAAGTAAGCACATTTGTTCTTAAAAAGTTATTATCTGAACATGTGATTGTAACTGAAATATCGAATAAAAATTTCAGTAACACACAGCATCAAGTTGATACAGAGAAACTATTAAAAGTTATATAACATATCTCTCCAACTTCCCCATTAAATTTAAGACATCGCCATCGACACAAAATGAAAATCAAAACCATTCAATCTAACTAATCCAGCATTTGAATGCAGAATAAATCTACGTTATCTGACCATAACAACTGAATTTTATTACCAAGCCCTTCTAAGGTTACTGCCCCTCTCCGAAGCCCGGGTAAAGAAAGAGATTCGGGCATGGATTACCGACCCCATTACATAGATAACGAACGACCTTGCTAAAAATAACCTAACAAGAAAAATCTAGCCAAACCATTTAAAATCTTCCCTTGCAGTTCAACGATATCCATTTCGCAGAGTTATCAGACCTCATAGTGGAAACCCAATTTCTTCGGAATCCACGACGCTAAGGCATCTCGCAACCAGAGAAACCATTAATATAGGTGTACGGAATCTGAGAACTGGGCAAAATCCAATCTGATTAGTCTCAATCCATTATTGTCCAAATTTACAAAGAAGGATAAAAGTCAGTCAGTCAGTTACAACGTAGAACTTCGCGCGTACGTACGTCAGTTCATGTTACCATATCACATTAGCACAGAAATTTAATTATCAACTCAAATCCCATAGTGGTAGAGATAGTAGTAGTACTACTGGTAATAGAGAGGATTAGGGTTTCAGGAGACTTTTCAAGAGGTATAATTCAGTGAACCAAAATTACAAAGAGAAAGATGAGGGATTCAGAAGATTAGGATTTGAGAGAAGACAAAGAACGGATACACCTGGGCCATTGCAAACGATTTTGAGCTATGTCATTCAGGGTCTCTAACTATCGGTTACTATAGTCCCGCGGACCCAACCAGGTAGTCCACATCTACCAACAAGGTTCAGTCCAGTTGTCCGTGAATTCATGGATTTGTGCCATGTTTCGGTCTGGCCGCCCTTAGCTTACTTCCAACCTACCAGCATTGCTCACTCGAAGATCCCAGGATATATGAGCAATGCTCCGGAGACACCTATGATAGAATACTAGTAACCTACGAATATCCTCTATTCTTAGTGACCATGTTTCACACCCATAAGATAGGACGAAACAAACTGATGCACAGCAGACTTGTCCTTTGGTTAGCAGACAGATATCTCGCTTACGCCATAAGTGATGCAAGTTGGCGAAAGCCAATCGAGCCTTCACCAGGAAATTAGCACTGATGAAACTCCAGCGGTAAGTAAAACGGTCATCACGCTCAACAACTTCACACCGAATCACTAGTTCAGGTGCCGATGCAAGACAATCCTGAAGCAAAATTTTGCATTTCGAGGGGGGAAACCGCATTCCGAACATGCTTGCAGAATAAAGTTGAATAAGAATGGAGGGAGTCGATAGCCCTAACGAAACACCACATTAAGTAATCAATTCCAGTAATAGTTGGCCATAAACTCTCATTCGACCAGTAGTGTTTGAGTAGAAAGCCTATATAAGGTTAATGTACTCCTTTCAATGACAAGCACTGCCGTAGTACTTCACGATCGACAAAGTCAAATGCCGCCTTAAGGTTGAGAAATACTACTATTGTTGGGCGTCTGAACGTGTCTTTGTTCTAGGACCTGACGTAGTATGAATCTATTTTCTATATAGCCATGTCCGGGTCGAAAACCAACTTGGTTTTCTCGAGTCTGCTCTTCACGAGCTTTAGTTAGGCGCCAAAGTATTATCGAGGCTAGCAATTTAGACACAATTAGTTAAACTAATTCCTCGGTTATTGTGACAGGACGACTTACCCACTCCCGTCCGTTGCTGCTAGCATGACGTGGTGGTTGTGCTTGCCTGTGGTGATTACTCAACCGAGCTATATTGACTGAAACATATTGTCCTTTAGGTTCTACCATGCCCGGCAGGTCGATTTGAGAGCGATGAGACCTAAAGCAGCTATAGAAAGTCTGAGTGCAATGTCTTACTGCTGACTGCGGAGGTGTGTCACAGCAGCTATGCTGCCCTCGCACAAGAAATGAAGGGTTTGAAAATGTCTACCCTCAATACGTCACACTTCACTTCACGGATTTCCGTCTCCAACGGTAAGGGTGCCTAATAAGGTCTTATAAGAGCGGTGCTAATATTCAAAATAACCTGTCAATAAAAGGCCGTAAGTGACCGCCCTCAATCAGTTGTCCTTTGGGCTATGCGGTCACGCTGCCAGGTCTCCAAGACCAACACTAATCTACCTTCTTTTTCAGGTCCGTCGGGAAACGCCCTTCCACGTTGTGGGCAGTCGGGAAGTGGCAGCCGCTCTCACACTCAAAACAACACGCGATACCAAATCGGTCATAATCTAATCCTTCCTACACCTAATATCTCTCTCATCTCAACGACTAACTCTTATCACATTCCTTTATCACCCCGTACCGCTAAAGCAACTCGATTTACCCTTCGAGTATCTGAAAGCACTGATGCTGCTTCCCGGGATTTCGCTGGTGTAGGTATAGCATTGAGTCCTAGGGATGTAAATATGGTTAGGTGCGGCCAGACCGAAACATGGCACAAATCCATGAATTCACGGACAACTGGACTGAACCTTGTTGGTAGATGTGGACTACCTGGTTGGGGTCCGCGGGACTATAGTAACCGATAGTTAGAGACCCTGAATGACATAGCTCAAAATCGTTTGCAATGGCCCAGGTGTATCCGTTCTTTGTCTTCTCTCAAATCCTAATCTTCTGAATCCCTCATCTTTCTCTTTGTAATTTTGGTTTCACTGAATTACTACCTCTTGAAAAGTCTCCTGAAACCCTAATCCTCTCTATTACCAGTAGTACTACTACTATCTCTACCACTATGGGATTTGAGTTGATAATTAAATTTCTGTGCTAATGTGATATGGTAACATGAACTGACGTACGTACGCGCGAAGTTCTACGTTGTAACTGACTGACTGACATTAGGATTTTTAACCTGCAATATAATGAATTTATCATTATGGAAAAAACTTTAAGTACACCTTATGATTTATATGTGCATATTAAGTGTCTTACACATAAATATACAAAATCTGATCATATACTATATTCGTGTGTATTGTCCAACGTTAGTTGAAGTAGAGTAATAAGTAATAAATTTGATTTTATTTTTATCCATTTACCTGTAGGTAGGAGAGACGAAGTCCGTGGGAGACAACTGGATTGGACTAAAGCACATGTGAGAAAAAAAGCAACAAATAAATAAGGCAATTAGAAGATGCACGATTGAAGAAATAGACAATAGTGCTTAAAGTAAAACCTAAGGACTAAGATAAAACAGAAGGGAGATATGAAAAAAGCAAATAAAAGAAAACACAAACTACACAATTAAGCCAGAATTTAACTTATTTTGTTTAATATTTTACATAACTATTCTTTGTTCATGATTGATACGTATTTCAGCAATTACACCAGACATTTTTTATCATGATAGGATTATGTACATTGCTAAATGAATAACTTAACTATTTACGAGTGATACGCATTACTCGTGAACCTGAGACTGGAGCAAAGACACAACTACCGAAGCACACAGAAGAATTTCAGTGATTAAACAACATGTAAAGTTCGTTGACAGTTAATATTTTTATTTACCTGGCTTAATAAGTCTTAACTCCGTCTGGAGCCCGTATGGGGCTAACTCCGGTTCCGAGCCCGGATAAAGGAGGTTTGGGCGTGGGAAATGAGACCCCATCCATTAGAAAACTAACTCGCTAAAAAAAGCTGAACAGAAAAAGTAATTCAAACCATTTAAACTCTGCTCTGCGAGCTGGAAGGTCTTCATTCAGAAGATTTATGAAGTCTCATGATGAAAACCGAGTTCCTTCGGAAGTCACGAGTCCGATGCTCCTTATAAAAATCAGAGAAACCATTCTTTTAGGTACATGGTCAGTCAGTCAGTTGCAACGTAGAACTTCGTACGTAAGTACATCAGTTCATGTCGCCATACCACATCAGCACAGAGATATAATTGTCAATTCAAATCCAATAGTAGAAGAGGTAGTAAAGGTATTAGAAGTAATCGGAGAGGTTAGAATTAGAAGATATTATTCACGAAGTATGATTCAATGAGATAAGTTTAGAAAGTAAAAACTAGAGGTATTGAAGAACCCAGAAGATTAGGATTTGAGAGAACACAAAGAATAAATGCACCGGCGCCATTGCGAACGATTTTGAGCCATGTCATTCAAGGTCTCTTACCATCGATTATTATCATCTCGCGGACCCCAACCAGGTAGTCGACAATTACCGACATGGCTAAGTCCACTCGTCAATGACTTCATGGATTTATGCCATGTTTTGGTCTGGCCGCCCCTAGCTTTCTTCCAACCTATTCCTACACTACAAAACAAAGCTCGACGAGGCAGTCGCTGGTTAGGCATACGCAACACGTGTCCCAACCACCTCAACTGATGAAGTTTCACCACTTCATCGATTGATCTGCCATTCTTACCTAGTACCCGTTTCCTAATAACAGCGTTGCTCACTCGGGTGTCCCACGATATACGAGCAATGCTTCGAAGACACCTATGATCGAAAACCAATAACCGACGAGTATCTTCTACTCTCATTGGCCATGTTTCACAGCCATAAAGTAAGACGGAGCGAACCGCTGCGCAGTACACTCGTCCTTTAGTCAGCAAACGGATATCTCGCCTACGCCATAAGTGACGCAGGTTGGCAAAAGCCAATCGAGCCTTCTGTATCCGTGCCGAGATTTCGTCAGTCACCAGGCCATCAGCACTGATGAGACTCCCAAGATAATTGAAGCGGTCTAAACGTTCGACCACTTCACTCCCTATCACTAGTTCAGGTGTCGATGGAATGTTCGTACAATGTGGGCGACTGTTCCGAATTGCTGCAGAGATGAAAAGATACAACCTTAAGGTGCTTGGAATCAGTGAAACGCGTTAGACAGAGGTTTTACTAGAAAGATTAGCCTCAAGAGAACTGCCGTTATACTCCGGCCATGAAGAAGAAAATGCTTCACACACACAAGACGTCCCACTGATGCTATCCAAACAAGCACAAAAGGCACTTGGAGGGTGGGAATTTCATGGACCAATGATCATCAAAGCATCCTTCAAAACATAGAAAGAGAGCGTTACAACGAACTTCATCCAATGCTAAGCACTTGTCAACAACTACAATGAAGACATCAAGGATGCTCTTCACGAGTTTTGTTAGGCGCCAAAGTATTATCGAGGCTAGCAATTTAGACACAATTAATTAAACCAATTCCTCGGCGATTGTCACAAGAGTACTTTTGTCATTCTTTGTAAATTCGGAAAATAAGGGATTGAGACCATTCAGATGGTATTACGCCCAGTTTGCAGATTCTAACTAATATCTCCGTCAATCTAACTGCTAAAACTGGTCCACTATCCCTAAAAATTTCAGGGGCAATCCTATCAGGCCCTGTTGCTCTTCCTTGCTTCAGATTTCATATAGCTGTTTTAACTTCTTGAGGACGTGGAGGACTTATTTCAATTTTCAATTCAAGATGATTGGAGATCGTGGGCTAGAAACACGAGGGGTAAATCGAGTTGGATCTTTGGTTTGAGATGGTGAGGTCGAATAAATGACTCTAATCGGATCCTGTATGCACGTTTCCGAGACGCAGAATATATCGATGGAGCGAGATTCAAAAGTCTTAGTTAAGGAAGCCTGTTGTTCTTTTGGACACAATGTCCGGATATTAAATGCTTCAACATGTAGTTTAGAACGGGTGTTTAGGAGACGAGGAATAACGTTTCGTGTGCTAAAAATAATTGCATCAGCGGCGCGAGGTGATAAAGGAATGAAAGAATGGTTGGTCGTGGAGATATGAGAGTTATTAGGTGTAGGAAGGATTTGATTCTGACCCATTCGAACTCGTGTGCTTTTACGGGTATGACGGCGGATGTCACTTCCCGGTTGCCCACACCGTAGAAACTATCGTAAACCAGAACGACCAGTGAAAAGCAAGGAATGCAAAGTAATCAGCAACATTGAGGGCATTCTAACAGAGGCGATGAAAGCAGACGTGGAAGCAACTGCAAAAATATTCCACATTCTCTTCAGAAAGATTTGGGATGAAGAACAAATACCAATAACCAAGAAAGGATACCTGATGAAATATCAAAGAAAGGAGATCTCAGCAAGTGTGAGAACTACAGAAGCATCACTCTTCTCTCAATACCAGGAAAAGTCTTCAACAGGGTGTTGTTAAACGGAATGAAGAACTTCCTAAACGCCCGATTTCGATATCAACAGGCTGGATTTCGTATGGACAGGTCGTGTACCGACCAAATCGCAATATTACGGATCATTGTGGAACAATTAATTGAATGGAACTCACAACTATACATCAATTTCATTGACTACGAGAAAACATTTGGTAGCGTCGACAGGATAACACTATGAAAGCTTCTTCGACACTACGGCGCGCCTGAAAAGATAGTCAGCATCATACGGAATTCTTATAATGGATAAGACTGCAAAATCGTGCACGGAGGACAGCTTAAAGACTTGTTCCGAGTGAAGAACGGTGTCAGGCAAGGTTGCTTATTCTCACCCTTTCTCTTTCTCCCGATGGTCGACTGAATTATGAAGACGTCAACGTCTGGAGGGAAACACAGAATACAGTGGACAACTAGGATGCAGCTGGACGATCTGGACTTCTTAGATGATCTGGCTTTTCTATCGCACACATAACAATATATGCAAGAGAAGACGACCAGTGTATCAGCAGCCCCAGCAGCAGCAACAGGTCTCAACATACATAAAGGGAAAAGCAAGATTCTCCGATACAACACAACATGCACCAACCAAATCTCACATGATGGAAATACCTTGAAGGACATAAAAACCTTTACATATTTGGACAGCATCACTGATGAGCAAGAAGGGTCTGATGAAGATGTTAAGGCGTGGATTGGCAAAGCAAGGACTGCATTTCTACAATTGAACAACATCTGGAACTGCAAACAACTGTCAACAAATACCATAGTCAGAATTTTCAATACAAGTGTGAAGACAGTTCTACTGTATGGGGAGGAAATTTGAAAACCATCAAAGCCGTCATCCAGAAGATACAAGTATTTGTTAACAGCCGTCTAGGCGAAATACTCCAGGTCCGTTGGTCAGACACCATCAGCAACAACCTACTGTGTCACAGAACAAACCAGATTCCAGTGGAGAAACAAATCAGGAAGAAGAGCTGGAAGTGATTAGGACACATTTTACGGAAAGCACCCAACTGTGTCACAAGACAAGCCCTCACTTGGAACCCTCAAGGCCAATGGAAAGGAGGAAAGCCAAGGAACACATTACGCCGAGAAATGGAGACAGACATGAGAAGAATGGACAAAGATTGGACAAAACTGGAAAGGGAGCACCAGGACAGAGTATGTTGTAGAATACTGGTCGGTGGTCTATGCTCTATTGGCGGTAACAGGTGTAAGTAAGTAAGTCTTGATGAGTCTTAACAACTGTCTGGTTTTAAATGGCCATGCTGCATTTCTAGTCTGATAATTGCGTTGGCTTTTTTAGCCTACATTTAAGTTTCCACAGCTCTTCATGTTCAGAGAGCATCGTCATGAATTTCTGGAAACCTGTATATTTGGCCGAAGATTTGAGTGTACTTGACTTTTCAGTAGTTCCAAGTCCCACCTAGATATCATTCAATTGTACTTGACATACCTACCAGTCTACCTGGAAGGTACACAATTCACGTTTCTTTGCTTTTCAATAAACTTTATCCATCTGAAATTAACCTTAACATAGAAATGAGTTTTACATGTCAGCAATCATGCTTATTGCGGTGATAGATGACTAAACTTATAATTCTGGATATCTAACGAGTATTTTTATGCGGAACTTACATTTAATTGGTGAGTTATTTACTCCAGTATCAGGGCTAGGTGCAATAAGATGATTTTTGAAGAAGCTATGAATTCTATTCTGAATCTCATCATCACACTGAAATTTTGCGAAAATAAAACAATAGTAAAAATAATAAATCATAGTATTCGGAAGTTAATGAGCAAAACTAGGTAGCATTAATATCATTAAATTAAGGGATTGTAGAGATAAATATGACCGAGGTACAAAATATCCAACCACAGAATGATAAGCTGCAAATTATTTTTGTTCAATTATGCATGTATGGGGTTGATAGAACTGGTCAATCACACAAATATGGGTTTTAGGTGTAGGGTGGTTAGTTCATAGTAGTTTAGAAGTAATTACTAAATAGGATTTTAAAGAGAAGAAAAGCCTTTTAAACCGGATGAGATGTGATTCATGGCAGTTTCAAATAAATACAAACAAACTAGGACTTAATGTTGTAGAGTAACATGGAAAATAGCAGAACAATGACCCCATACAAGTAAATCCCACTTGGTGATACAACACAATAAATCAGAAGATAATTTTGCAGTCCCGAGAAATAATAAATGCTTTTGTGATAGCTTATGTACATAGTTCCATGCGTTTAAGGTCAACAAAACCCGTACGTTGATTATGTTTTCGTAAGCAAACAATAGTTTAAGTGCAAAATAGTGGTAAAATACAAGATCAACTTCAGACAGAATTAGAAAAAACTATTATTGGGACAGGAACTTAGTTTGTGATGTTGTAATACGAAGCGAAATCGTTGTATTTATTTGAACATATAAGCATTAGCTCAAAGGGGGATCACCTAAATATTTGTGCTACACACGAACCAGTGAATTTCTCTGTGGGCTGGAATACTACTGTCCGGGTAATCAAACTGAAGTAATTTTGTTAGGGGAGTACTCTCCGAGCCTCTCACCCAAAAGTCTAGCTCAGAAGACAGTGGGGCAACGTTGGGAGATGCGGCCCCATGGTAGCTTTGATGACCAATAATAGTTTCATACACCATTTGTTCCCACAGAACCCTGGAGCCCATTTGCACCGTTGGTTTGGGATGAGAGTTTTCCAACTCTCCTCCGTAGATCCTTCTACTAAATTGAATGTTAACCTTATCATTCAAAATAGCTTGCAATTATTTCAGTTCACAAACAGATCTTCAATAATGAATACATTTCAAATTTATTATGCAAGCAAATAATTAAGTGTATTTTAGCTTGTCTGCAGAACGTTTAATCATAAAACCGGTTTTTTTTTAATAAGTGAATAAGGATTGAATCGTTGGAAGTATTATTGGGAAGAAACGTTATATTACAATCCCGAAATGATCAAAATGCTTTATTTATATTTCCAAATCCTTTGATCGGTAACTAAAGATAATCATGATAACACATCTGAAAAACAAAGCTCATTTTTTACAGCACTATTGTTACAATTATGTAATTAACTGAGAAAGCAAGGGAGATGGAAAAGGCAACGGCGATAGGAAACAGTAGAATACTATTCAGACTTATCAAGGAAACCGGTATTAGTAATCCATCTGTTAGCGAAACCATCTCAGAAAAGGATAGTCTGATCCATTCTCAATCCAGAAAATTGGATCGATGGGCAGAACACTTCAGGCATCAGTTCAACTGACCTTCAGCCACACTTCGGTTACCCACGATCTCCAATCATCCTGAACTGCAAATCGAGATAAGTCCACCAAGGCTTTAAGAAGTTGAGAATAAGGTAGGAAATCTGTAGAAAGGGAGAGCAGCGGGTACTGACAGATTGATACCTGAGATTTTAAAGGATGTTGGTTCAGCTTTAGCAGCCAGATTGACTGAGATCTTGGGAAGAATCTGGGAACTAGGCATGAACCCATCTGACCGATCTCAATCACTGATTGTCACAGTCTGCAAAAGAGGACAAAAGTCCTCTTTTGCCAATCACAGAAGAATCAGTTTAACTAATATAGTTTCTAAAATACTAGCCTCAATAAAACTCCGACGCCTAACTAGAGCTCGTGAAGAGCAAACTAGAGAAAATCAGGCTGGTTTCAGACCTGAACGTGGCTGTATAGATCACATTTTCACACTACGAAAGGTCCTGGAATATAGACAAACATTTAGGCGTCTGACAATAGTTGTCTTCCTAAACCTTAGGGCGGCATTTGACTCTGTGGATCGTGAGGTTCTGTGGCAGTGCTTGCCATTGAAAGGTGTACCAAAGAAGTACATTAACCTTAAACAAGTCGAGTGAAAGCTTATGGCGAACTATCATCGGAATTGGTTACTTTAAGTGGCATCCCGTCAGCGATGTACACTTTCTCCGTTGTTGTTGGATTTTACCATAGATATGCTTCTAGATATAAGATTACCTTCATCTGAATTTTCAGGTGTTGACCTACCAGGAGATGCACTAGCTGACTTAGAATATGCCGATGACATAGTTCTATTCAATGAAGACGCTGAAAAAATGCAGTCTTCTGACTACCCTAAGCAACAATCCAAGCTTATTCGCGATGCGGTTTTCCTCCTCGAAATGCAAGATATTGCTTCAAGGCTGGGCTACATCGGCACTTGAACAAGAGACAGAGAGTGAGTGAATTCCTAATCACCTTTATCTTGTTCTTTTAAATTCATTTTACTTGGTTCTACTGCTTGAATAATTTCGTCGAACCCTAATATCTCCGATTACTGCTAATACCTTTACTATCCCTGCTACTATAGGATTTGAATTGACTATTACATCTCTGTGCTAGTGTGGTACGACAACTTGAACTGATGTACGTACATACGAAGTTCTACGTTGTAACTCACTGACCCAGTTGTCCAAAACTAGTAAGTGGGTGAGGTTTGAATCTGAGGACTGATGGCTCAAAGTTGAGAACCTTAAACCCTGAGCAACCATTCCATTTTTTTCTTATTCCAGCGCAGAACTGCTAAACAAAGCTTCGATGCTAAGTCTACAGTTTTTATGATGTCCCAAGTTCCAAGAGTGAGACTTTGATGGCATGATAATTCATGATGCTACGAAATAAATGACAATAAACAAGCAAATACTTATACCTTTAATCACTTAATATACCTGAGTATCCAGTCTCTCCTGAAGTTCTAGTTGCAGTACTGGGTTTTCATCTATATCAGCAGGGAACAATTCTCCTTGAATATCAGGAGATAAGATAAAGGGTGCGTTAATTCTATTGGGAGTTGTTTTCTTCGAACCACTTTTGCTAATTGGGCTGGGATTGTAAGCAAATATTCCAGGGCTGAAGTTTACTTGTTCAACACGACTGAGAAATTCTTTATGGAATGGATTAAAGATTAAACCGCCAGACGGAGTAGTTATTCCAAATTCGTCGTCATATGGGCATATTTTCACTGGAGTAGCTGCTTCAGGATTTCCCATTTACTTATAAAAGAAACAGAAAATATTTTCATGTAAATTTATAATGTAACATTATGTGTACCATAAAAAAACCATAGAACTCACTGAAAACTAGGCTACTGATCTAACGGAGTTTGCGATAAAAGGTGCGGGCTTCCATAGCAAACTACGGTGCAGTTCATTGGACCCCATAGGTTTATTTCACATCAAGTTTATTTAATAGACCGAAGATAACGAGTTCTTTAAAGGTCACAATAACCAAAGTACGAATGGCAGAGTTCATTTTAGCTCAACGAAAAGGCATCTCCACCGTATATACATTGTTAAGGTAATACGAATACCGGAGTTTTATTGTAGTGATCTCTATCTAGCGATGTAACAACGCCGTCTCCACATGATATTGAGATACAGTCCCTCGCTTTGCCCTTCGTTTGAAGAAAAAATATGAGCTTCAAGGATATTCTACAGGATCCTAGACATGGTTTTTTATAATCCCTTATAGACCTACGTAAGGCCAAGACACAAATATTTTTGGCCCTCTGATGTTGGGAATCGGTCACATCAGTGACCCAAGATTTAACTTATATTATTTTCCTTTTACCGAAAGGGGTACAAACCTTACTGAATCACGCTCTGGAGTTTCTTTGGTATGGTACAAGGTACATACGGTGTTGTGAATTCGTGTAGAAACTCCTGCAGATCTCCAGAGAGGTTTCTGCCGGTTACCATTAAATTCACTGTACATCTGATTTGCAGGCATTTGGCCTGCATTCAGTCAGTTGCAACGTAGAACTTCGTACGTATGTACATAAGTTCATGTTGCCATACCACATTATTAGCACAGAGACGCAAATGTCAAATCAAATCCCATAGTGATAAAGATAGTAGAGGTATTAATGTTATAATAAAGAAGACTAGGGTTTAAGATATTATTCAAAAAATATAATTCAGTGAGATAAGGTTAGAAAGACAAAGGTAGAGGTGCTGAAGAATCCAGAAGATTAGGATTTGAGAGAGCTCAAAGAGTGGATGCACCTGCGCCATCGCAAACGATTTTGAGCCATGTCGTTCAAGGTCTCTAACCATTGATGACTTTCGTCTCGCGGACCCCAACCAGGTAGTCTACATCTACCAACATGACTCAGTCCACTTGTCAGTGACTTCATGGATTTCTGCCATGTTTTGGTCTGGCCGCCCCTAGCTTTCTTCCAACCTACTCCTACACCACAAAACATAGCTCGTCGAGGCAGTCGGTGGTTAGGCATACGTAACACATGTCCCAACCACCTCAAATGATGAAGTTTCACCACTTCATCGATTGATCTGCCATCCTTACCTAGTACTCGTTTCCTAACGACAGCATTGCTTACTCGGCTGTCCCACGATATACGAGCAATGCTTCTTAAACATCTATGATCGAATACTAGTAACCTACGAACATCTTCTACTCTTAACGGCCATGTTTCACAGCCATATAAGAGAACGGAACGAACTGCTGCGCAGTACACCCGCCCTTTGATTAGCGAACGGATATCACGCCTACGCCATAAGTGACGCAGGTTGGCAAAAGCCAATCGAGCTTTCTGTATCCGAGCTGAGATTTCGTCAGTCACCAGACCGTCAGCACTGATGAGACTCCCCAGATAAGTGAAGTGATCTACACGCTCGACTACTTCACTCCCTATCACTAGTTCAGGTGCCAATGCAACCCAGTCTTGAAGCAACATTTTGCATTTCGAGGGGGAAAACCGCATCCCGAACATGCTCGCATTGTTGCTTATGGTAGTCAGAAGACTCTGCATTTTGTCAGCGTCTTCACCGAATAGAACTATGTCATCGGCATATTCTAGATCAATAAGCGACTTTCCTGGTAGAAGGTCAACCACTGAAAAATCTGACGAGCTTAGTGTTAACTCTAAGAGGATGTCTACGACAAAGTTGAACAAGAATGGAGAGAGTGGACAGCCCTGACGGACACCACTTGATGTAGAGAATTCAGATGACAGTTCGCCATATGCTCTCACCCGACCAGTGGTGTTCGAGTAGAGTGCTTGTATAAAGTTAATTTACTTCTTTGGTACACCTTTCAATGACAGACACTGCCACAGAACCTCACGATCCACTGAGTCGAATGCCGCCTTAAGGTCCAGGAACACGACTATTGTCGGACGTCTAAATGTGTGTCTGTGTTCCAGGACCTGTCGTAGTGTGAAGATGTGGTCTATACAACCACGTTCAGGTCGAAAACCAGACTGGTTTTCTCGAGTCTGCTCTTCGCGAGCTCTAGTTAGACGTCTAAGTATAATCGAGGCTAACAATTTAGAAACTATATTAGTTAAACTTATTCCCCTGTGATTGTCACAAGAGGACTTCTGTCCTTTCTTGCAGATTGGGACAATTAGCGACTGAGACCAGTCAGATGGGATTACGTCCATTTCCCAGATTCTACCTAGGATCTCGGTCAGTCTAACCGTTAAAACTGGACCACCATCCTTAAACATCTCAGGGGTAAGCCTATCGGGACCTGCCGCTCTACCTCTCCTTAGATTTCCTATAGCTTTCTCAACTTCATGTAAACTGGGAGGACTTAAATCGATTTGCCATTCAGGATGACTGGAGATCGTGGGCAACCGAAGAGTGGCTGAAGGCCAGTTGAACTGATCCCTAAAGTGTTCTGCCCATCGGTCCAGCCTCCTAGATTGAGAATGGATAATAAGACCATCCTTTTCCGAGATAGTCTCACTTACATTCGGGTTCCTAATACCGGTTTCTTTGATAAGGCGGAAAAGTTGTCTTGGCCTGCATTGAGCTGAGACATCGTTATTGGCTGTGATATAAGGATTAAAAGCCAAAATTGTATGGCCACTTTTTCTCAGGAGTGGCATAGAACCGAGATTTGTCGATTCATCCTCTCTGGATCAATATAAGATTTGATAAGGATGACTTACAGTTCGGATAGTCTTTAGTTACTTTTTCACACTTCGCCAGAGCAGATATTATAGCCCCACTGAGTAGGTTTCATTAGAACCTTCTGATAACCTGCTCCTTAGATTTTCCCAGTCTATGATAAGTGCGTTAGTGACCTAAAATTAAAAATCAACTCATAAAAGACTAAGTGCTGAGTGTCCTGTAAGACGTCAGTTACTTCATAGCTAGGGCTGCCAGACACCAAGCCAATTGGCAGCTTTTGTTTCTGATATTTTATGCAACAACTAACTTATTCACACACTTCATTCATATAAGATATGATATCGATAATAGTAAATGATACTGTTTCCATAAATAAGGTTATTCTTGATTTAATTTTGTGGATTTAGTCAATTTATAGGAATGAGGTTTTCGAAACCATGTTTACTGTCATATAAAAACAGATCTGTTACGGCAAACATAAACAGCTTGTAGTGCATCTGTAAACCAACCTCTAGTCGGCTAAACATTTTTTAACAGTTCTGAAGACAACGTAATTGACTTCAGCACCATCAGATTTACAGTAAAACCACTAAAAATCTACCAACCTGAGGTTCCTTTGATCCAGCTTCAATACCCATCCTCAAATTCTTGATTTTTTTACATGACTAGAAAATGAAAGGCATTTCTGCACAAAGTCCCTAATCTTTTAAGCTTATATCTATTTTTCAAAGAAGAAACCATTCAAAATAGCAATAGGACAAAATACTGTCAGACTGAAAATCTACAAAGACACATAAACCTGTAAAAACGTTTTTCTCGTGTGCTCAGACTGTTATTTTTATCCTGAGAAAAAAAGGGGCAGCTGTTAAGTTTTAGGAGATAACACGGCGGGATTTGCTCATTTAAACAGAATATCACTTTTCTTTGAAATACAAAGGGATAATAATTCTGTAAACTATGCATCATGTGTGAAATCATGAATATTCTAAAGGAACGTTCATCTTCGTCAAAAAATGGAGTGGATGGCCGCATTTTCCTGTAATTTTAGAATCTCATGTTTGCTAATTTTATGTTTTTTAGTCTAGTAGCTACGTTTAACGAAACTGGTAAACAGATAGATCGTAACCTAAATATCAATAAAGTGCTTCTGCATTTATTTGAGCGTACATCACTCAAACAATGAGGAGTCCAGTCAACGCCTCCCGTACCAACCACAAATCTTTAAGTTGCACTTTGTCACGAATCCTAAATACGCACTTTTTTTGCGGTACAGTTTCTGATTCGATATAACACTGAATAAGCTTGCTTCGAAAACTAGTAGATCTTTCAGATCCAAGTCATTGTTCAAAAAAACTTATCTTTGTAAAAAAAATACTTGATAATAATCATTTGATCACAAAACCCACAATGCTATCCATCTCTTTACATGTTTTAGTCCATTATTTACTGTTCTAAGCAAGAAGACACAGAAAAATGAGGGTTACAGGGGGTAAGATCTACGTTTTAAGCAGCGTCAGAAAACCCTGCTGGTCGTTTCGCCGCTTACATGAAATCATCATGAATGTACATGGTGGCGAACTAATTGATGTGTGAAATATGCTCTCATTCATAAGGTATACCAGATATACAGAGAAAACATTTTGGCGGATGCAGAGAGCCTATGGGTTATTTGTTTTCTTTATCTTCTTTGGATCTAAGGAATATTTATCAACTCAGATATGTTAGATTTAGCTTTCTTTGAGGTAACCTGATGAGAATAATAATGTGCTTGTGGCTAAAAATGTACAGTTTACGATCACTTTGCTGAACCCTCATGCGAGTTCCTAACTATCCTCTCTATCATCTTTCATCCTCCCACGACACCTGTATCTCAGGTTTCGTACATTCCAAACTTTCGGTAGAGGTCCTCTATCAGGAAGGACCGGTTTTTTCCTGAATATTTCTTTATGTAGCGAAATTAATTTTCTCATAAATGTAACTCATATCATGTTAAATCAGTTCGTCATGATCCGTCCCATTTGGATTCCAGTGAGGTTTTTCTTATCCTGTAAAAATGGTTTTCCACTCAATGAGATATTTTCTCACTTTGTAAACAAACAGACCCGTTTAAATGAGCTGAGTTGATTCTCTAGATTTCAACCATCAGGATGGAAGAAAACTCATTGGCATAGGAGTTTAAATGAGAAAATAACACAGCCAATCAGATAAGTTAAATTCTAATGTGCAGAAAAATTCGAAATTTGGACATAAGAGGATTCACGTTGACTGCTATTCAGCAGTCACTTGTTTTATGTTGGAGACAGAAAGTGTCCTAACATTTTAGGATGATACAAGTGCTGAACTGATTACCGTTAGATGAACTAAAAGATCATTGTTGACGCAATCAGAGGATTACAGAGTATATATATGTGACTGGATAAAACTTACTTCTTTCTAACCATTCTAATAATATGGATGTGAAAACATATGTTACAATGTATCTGGTTTATAAATGTTCGTTTTAGTACAAACGTGAGTTTCCGACACCTCATTGGGAGATCGTTTACGTGTTATTGACTATATTTAGAAATTTGATTTGAAATCTAGACATCTAGTTGTAAAGTTGGAGGATTAGTTGAACGGATATAACTAGCACACTTAAGCAATTTAGAGTCTGGCAACTGTCGTGATTAGCATATTTTACCTGTTGAAGAATCCTGTCACTAACTGGCTATTGTTTGATTGCCAGATCGCTTTAAATGGAGAGATGGTAAGAGGTGTCTTGACCGTCAGTACCACACATGACACTAATAAATGAGGTAACCATGGGGCAGTCCTGAACGAACTGCCAATCAATGACTGAATACTCAAGGAGGGAATCAATTGTATAATTAAGAGTATGTCGCTGCTGGAACACTTCCAGCGTTATCAATATTTTCGGTATCTCTCCTGGAAAGGGTTCCAGACACACAAAAAGAGTGAGGAAATATCTGCAATAATAAATCCATCTGTAAAATTCTCATGTGTTGATCAATAATTATCATTATTAGCAGCGTTAATATTTACCACTCACACTATTCTTAGCCGCGCCTATCGTAACTAAGCACTTAAAATCTAACTTATAGGAAATCTTTTAGATATCTGCTCACGTACAAATATACTCGCCCAATTTACTAGTCGTTCGATCAACATATCTTACAGTCTCCTTGTATCTACACTGCGAATTTCGGTTTTACAGTGTTCCATTTGTCTCTTAGTCAACTGTCTCTTATTGCGTGACAGCTGTTGATTCTAGGAATATCAGTGCCTTGGCGAAATGTTTTACTACCGATTCGGGCAAAAATGCGCTTTGACTCTACCAGTGCAAAGTCGGCATAAGACTTTAGATCACAAGGTGTCCATATAACTAGATCCTTCTCACTTTTTGGCACATCTAAAGACGAGTTACCTTTGTTATATGCATGGTCTGTATTAGGACTGAAGCTAACTATTCTGAACATTGATGAGTTAAAAGTTAGACCATTTTCGTCCGCTCATCTTCTCTCTAAACTTTAGCATCATCACCGAAAAGTAATAACTCAGACGACAGTTGCTAAAGGAGATCAGCGAAATAAATTGAGAACAGAAGTGCTACTGGTTTTGATCCGCGAGGAACTCAACTTGGACGTACGGCAGCCTGAGAAAAACCGAAGTTGCCCTGAGCCTAAAAATAACTGACCTATTTACAAGGTGGCTTGATACCTAACAGTATGAGCCTATCGGTAAAATCCATATAACTGACTCCATCAAAAGCTTTTAAGAATTTGAGATTTTTCATATCAACCTTTGCCTTGCGATCAAGGATAATTGTATACCGGTTTACCGAAGTCGCACTGACAGTCATATACCGTGGATTCAATATATTTTGAAGGTATTGAATGAAGTGCTACGATCCGAGAGCTTGAAGCTTTATTACGTCGGCTTCTCCAAAAGATCAAAGTGCACACGACTTAGTGAGTCTCGACTAGGGGAGTTTCACAACGGACTACTTACTGATACTAATTAACGATCTCTTAGATGCAAAGGTCTGGAAGCGAACTCTGAAAGTGGTAATATTTTTTAATGTGATATGGTTTTCTTAGGAAGTTGCTCGCCTGAAGGGTTTCACACTGCTTTCATCAAATTATGTAATATATCCGATGCAGTTTGCTTCTAAAAAGCAAGACTTCTAAGTTTTTAATCAGTTTATATATAGAAATCATAGACCAGCATTTCGAAATACTATACGTAAGCCCAAAACAGTTTGATAACGTTCTTGACTTCTGAACATATCAGTTTAAACGTGCTAATCGACTGACAGTAATGCTTAAACTTATTACCTGAACATCTTATCCGTAATATCTCTCCCTATATCTTCTGGTTTTTAACCCAGGTAATGCACAAGTTATACTCTTATACTTCTGCTTTAATTAGAGAGGCAATTATCATTCTCATTTCCCCATTATGACCAATAGTTCGGGTAAGAGAGATATAAAACCTACTTCTAAACCACCCAAAAGATCAAAATCTATAAACTATGCCAAATGAGTCTGTTATTGGAAGTCACACATACATCTTATAACCCTGTGCTTCATATTCAAAATTTTGATCATCTTTAGTCAGTAATCCGCATGACAACTCTTCACTTAGTATGCGAACAGTGAAATTCGTAGGTATAAGAGGTACTATATCAATGCATTCTGAAATGTCAACATAGAATAAACATCAGTAAAGCTACGGTCTAAAAGTTCTTATACCAAAGCATCGAATGGTCCATCCAATACCGATCATAATAGCAATTACTACGGCAGCCATGTATGACAGTCACAAAACTTACTTGCCCAAACTTAATATCAGATGAACCAGTCAGCACTCCACATGTACATATGGGTCTCAAATAATGGTAGGAATCTCGAGGAACTAACTGAATTGTAACACATCATAGAGTTGTAGCTGAGGAATCTACGAAAATGCTAATGTCTTCCAACAATGCAATTGCATATAATTTTCCTCACCGCATACCCTCGACCAAGCTAACGGGTACCTGTCTTCAAGCGCGTGGTATGGTAAACGTCAGTTGTCAAGTCTTGCGCCTCAGAAATAAATATGATAAATCATCATGTTAAAATTCAGCTGCAGTAACGACGCCAAAAGATTTTCCCTTTTGATCGAACATGTTTGTTATTTGAGAATAAATTATTATTATTAGGAACCCTAAATAAGGTGTCATTAACGCTTGCTGTTTTTGCATGGAGGGATTTTGCGGGCCGGTGTATAATTCTTTTTGAATGTTTTGTGTTTTGGAAAATCCCTCCATGTTTACATATTTTGCTATGACCTGATGGACTTTTTCTCTTGACATTTTTGGTATTTTATTTGATTCCAATTTGAGATTTTACCATTGTATGTTGTTATTCTTTCCATATTTTGTACTTATATTGAAGTTTTTGTGTTTGCTTTTGAACTGTACATATTTGTTTAAATTTGATATAATATGGCTACCGCCACATTTTTGGATAGACGCGGTGGCTGCTGGACTTAGTGTCACTTACTAGCTATTGTAATAGATACTCTACGGAGTAATTTAGTCCTGGAAGAAACAAAAACATCGTAAGCCTCTGTATTTCCATTTTATAACAATATAGAGACGGTTTTCTCCTAGAATTTTGGCTTTCTGATTTGGCTGGGACGTGGATCTAGGAGTATCGTACCGGTGTGTTTCTATTGGACGCGATTGGGACAGCCGCCGGCGAAATAAATTCTACAATGATACGTTGGAACTACACGAATTAAAGTTTCTGTGTGGATCGTTCTGAAACCCTCAAATGCAGCTTCTTTACTGTTCCGTTGCGTTTCCCGTTAACTTAACGCAACAACAGGGGATCTAGCAATATTGTCAGAATTACTGACGTTCGCTTCATTCCTACTGTTAACGTGTAAGGCGCTTTGTGAGGATTTCAACTTGTCTGGAATCTCTTGGTTCCCAATCAAACAACCGAAACTATTTGAATCATTTATTAAATGTGAGCTTGGGGAGTAGACTCAATATGTTGACACACAGGTCAGAAATCCAAATATACTGGCTTTAGTTTTCATCAGTAACCTCCCAATAGTTTATATTTTGGGAAAATGTTGCCAGGTTGTGATCATAATATTGTCATATGCAGTCTTGATGTAGAAGCCAAAAATATCAGATGTAAATCCACTACACATAGTAGGGACTATAGTAAGATTGATAGGGCAAAACTTACGGAACTGCCTCAGAAGCATTGAATGGACTAACTAATCTATTGCACACAATACCGACGAACTAACAAATGTATTTATCACAACACAAATCATATATTCAATCAATTTGCACCGTTAGGATCCTGAAGAGACCCAGGATCTCTAAGGGCTGATATATGCCAGATCATATACGAAAACGTCCTCAAGGACACGCTTCCAGACTACATAACTGCAATGACTTCTCCTCATTAGTAAGGATGACAGAAATAATTGTCGAGGCAGAGACTAAGCGTAAGAAAAAGGCAGCCTCACAGGAAAATCTTGCTAGCCGATTGAATAACGAATCTTCTGAACTTATTAAAATCATTCGAAATAAACTTAGATGCTCTGAAGTGAAAAAAGGAGCGTATTTAATCGGGAGAATGTTGGGGACGTTAGATCGCCAGTACTCGCTTGATCAATGACTTAATTTGGATTTTTCGTTTCCGAGCATGGGCTTATCAGCTGACCTTGAAATTTCACTTCCCGCCAGGAAAATCGCTGGCTGTGATTGTTTGCTGTGTATTTCAGTGTGCATTTTTGTGACTGTCTCCAGGATGAAAATAAAGTTAGGATTCAGAGTAACCTAGACAACCTATCTACCTGGAGCGAGACATCGTAGCTAACTTTTCACCACAACAAATGTGACATCACACATTTTAGTAAGCGGCACTAAGAAATACGACTATACTTACAAAAACGTAGGATTTAAACACCCATTTGTGCACATGACCTGGGTATTCATTGCTCCAGAAACCCAAAAAGTGAAGAACATGCATCTAATATTATCTCTAATTCTAAAAAGATAATGAGGTTTATGGAGAAGAACTTCTTGGCAAATGAGGCCGAGCTTGCACTCTTCAAAATGTGCATGAAGCCCTCACTTGAATATATTTTCAAACATGAATATCATAGACAAGGTATAAGACGTCAAAAGCAGCTTCAAACGGGGAATGCTCTCGACTGCACAGAAAAATGCAAACATCTTTTCCCAGAAACTTTACGACGCGTTGAAAAACCTAATACTCGTCCATCAAATAATATATGGCCTCTCGTTTGTAAAATACCTCCCAATTTTGAACCACGAACCTGCTTACAGACTTAGAGACAACCCATATACACTACTAACAGCTAAATACAAAAGTCATTGCGTTGTTATTTCTTTGTAACACGATACAGTTTATTGTGGAACAGATTACCGATTCCTACCTGTATTTGTGACGCAATCACCAGGTCCAAGAAACTAGTAATACTGTTTTTAAACTCTTAAGAGACTTACCAACTAGTTGCGGAACTCACATCAGATCCCAAGGCACACTTTTATGGACAACCAAATATTTAGATTAAACGTAGAAACTAATAACAGGCCATGAATATATTGCACTCGCATTACCATCCACATAATAACAACAAAATGAAAGACAAATTACACTACTCCTACTAAGAGTTACAGGTGACGCCTTGAAGTGCTACCCGCAACAGTTGTAGTTTTCTTAAAATTCAAATTCGCATCATTATCTTATTATCTTTCACACCACTTAAATTTTATTTCTAGTAGATAGATAAAGCCTGCAAATGCTGCTCAACTATTGCCGATTACAAGGAACTCAAACTTCCTGTATCATTGAGAGTTCCTTCTTGTTCACGTACTAACAGTTCGATAAATTTATGTCTCCTCACAACACTGACATCCGAAAACCTTGCTATTTTACCTATTTATTGCCTTAGTGGAGGATTTTTAGCACTCTTAATCTTATTTCCATTCATCAGCTATCTATCGAGCAGAGAAGGTATATTCCAACAAGGTGCACAAAAAATTGAGCTTAGACTAAAAAACATTATTTAAAGTCTCCCACTAAATTTAAGAGAGCCTAACATGACAAAAGTAGGGACTAGTGTATCTGACCAGTATTCATGACGGTGGAGAGATAACCTCAATCTATCCATACCTGCGGGGCAAAACAATTCGTTGCTTACTGCTCCTTACGTTATAGCAGGATGCAACTAATCAACGATATTGATATTACGTTTCCATATCAGCGACGTCTGTGACTCATGTTTATAACCTTTCATTGGTTTAACTTCCAAAACAAAAAATTATGTTTTAAAAATAGCTCACTTGTGACTTTTTGAGCTACAGCGTCAAAAAAACAGTCAGTGAAATATCACAAAAGCATCAGATCACTGTAGCTTCATTATCATATTTTGTTAATAAACATTATTTGTAACCATTGAGTTCTTTTGAATTTCGTCTATTCTTAAGATTACTTGCTCGTTCGTTATCTTACTGAGGACTTGTCTTTATTAACCTACATAAGTGCAGGTGTAAAGTTAGTGTGCCAATACAGAAAAAGAAAGGTCCGAGTAATCATACCATTGTCTTATCCAAAAATAGTAACTGATGAGTCGTAACTCAGCCTTACCGAATAATACCTTCAGCATCTCGTCAAACTCCTTAAATAATAACCTGGATAATTGTCGAAGACTTGATTAATTTACCTAGTAGCCGTAAATTTATTATCTGACGAATCTCAACAAGTAGATTAATGCAAATTTACCTCATCAGTTCTTGTTATTTGCAGACCTGGATTTACCGTTCATTAGTTCTCAACCAGCAGAGGTTAGTTGCGAATAACCACCGTAACTCGCGTCACCCATCGTATTGTACACTGCAGAGTTCGAAAAATTTTCTAAAATCTGATGTGGAAAATTTTAGCTGTCTATAAGTAGTCAGTGTACCTTGTGAAAAATTGAATTAACTGAACAACCTTATACAGAAAATATGTTAGCAACTTTATCATCTTTATCTTGTTATCTGAGAATAAAATATTATTATTATAAATGAGCTTCAAACGGTTCGAATCTAATCCTGTCGACTCACCCTCAAGTGAAGTCTGCTCCCTCATGTCTACTCAGAGCGCTATCTCGGTTTGATAAGCAGATAAATCCTCCACACCAGTTCCAACTAAATAAGGGATGCAGCCAAGGTTAATGCAACTCTTTACTCTATGTGAAGACAACTTGGTGCTACCGCACCTCAATTAATCTTAACGTTGTTTAAGACATTTGCGATCTCACAATTCGAGGTTCACAAACTCGTCGCATCCGCTCTCCTTAAATGTGACATAAATCTCTTGCATAGAGTGAACAGACGAGTAGCAAAACGAGTGATATGTTTGAAAAATAAAACGTATGAAGATGGACTCCAGAACTCGGGATTATTCTCCCTGAGTTACAGGAGAATTAGAAATGATCTGATTAAGTACGCCAAACCATCCCAAAGTGAGTAACTTACCGATGCATTACCACCATTCCCCTCGAGGTAATCCTCGAAACATTTCGCATCAAAGGGCAAACACTCATTAGGAGTCGTTTCAACTCGGAATTCTCTCCCAGCTGAGGTGACCACAGCCTCCTTATTGGACAGATTTATGTGGAAACTTTAGAAACACGTACTCACATACGCATTATCATCTCCCTTGTGAATAAGCTGTACTTGAAGCATATGCTAGGAACTTCAGATAATTGTTATTATTGCCATCTCCTCAGATCACTGACCTAATATATCACGTTTATTATCTCTGTATCCTCCTCCTTAATTCCGTTCTATCGCATAATCATCACTATCAATTAATGAATTAAATTATTCATTGATTGACTCAGTTCTGAAATATTCTTCTTATTAGCATTAGAATTTTCCCCTTATTATTCTCCACATCGCAGCTAACTGATCTCCGAACTAGTGACTTGATAGCTGCTGGCGTACGGAAACCGTACTGCCCTGAACCAAAGTTACTCATTCAAGTCACTGGACGTACAAACTCACAAACAACTGCCAACTGATTAGAATTAGAGTAGTCGAGTGGCTAGACCATACCGTACCAAAAGAACAAGAAGCGAGCTCAAAGAAATCGATTTTCTTATGATGGATATATTGAAAACTGGATCGTTTAAACGTATCACATCATTCTTTATTGGTGTCATTGACCTAGACACTAATACAGAAGTGGCTATGAATCTGGCAGGAAGGTTTTTTGTGAAGTCTAACTATATACGGTCTGCCAAAGTAAGAAAATTTCATTTAGAATCATGATTGATGTGTTCAATAGGATAACTGGATTCTGTGTGATGTGAGACTATTAACTGACGATACTGATACATTTTTGTGCATCAAATCATTGCCTTCGTCGATATTATTGAATGGAAACATCAATTACACAGAAAATGAGGTTGATAAACTTCCTGAAAAAAGTCCATATCTTCCAGAAAACTTTGCTACCAGGCCATTCACTGCACTATGTAATCTAAGTGAATATAAATCATGTTCGATGAGAACAGAAGCTGTTAATTCGAGTGCCTCGTTCGCTCTCAAACTTGTGCCTTCGAGTGTTTTTGGAAATAAAAAGCTTCTCATTGCTACAGAAGATGAAAATGAGATTACTACCTGGTTGGCTATTTGTAAGACATGCATAGGGAAGAAGTCGAAAAACTGCTCTTCAACTAACAAGGACTTAGCTTGTAATTTGGGAACGCTGAGTAAATCTGGCAGCTTCATGTCACTTAAACCAAACTCGCAGACATGCGAAAATGAACTTGACGATGTACTGATGGATAATGAGGTTTATGAAGCATACTCTTCAGGTAAGACTATTTGACTAGATGCGATTAGGATATAATTTATCATAAAATAACACTCTATGTTCCTGTGAAGTACCAATAAATATTTACATTTCCATGTCTCTCAACTCTCACTTGAATAGTTGTTTTTCTGTGGTTTGAGGGTTGCCACATATATTCCTTTCTGAATTTTCTATCATATGTTTGTAGATACTTGCGTGCCTTGCTGTAGAAATGTTTTGAAACCCCTTTGCTTTTGAAAAACGCTAATCTTGCATTATAAAAGTATCTGATAGTCAGAAGGCTCTCCTTCTAGTGAGGTTCTTTCAATCTGTTCCGGAAACTATTTGTTTGCTGGCCATAGTGACAAATGATTCTTGAATTCTTTTAAACACAAAATTCTTGTTGATGCTATGGGCTTTACTGACCAGCTTTACTCACGAAAAACTTCTAAGATTAAACTAAATAACGCTTAAGTGAATTCTTTATGCGTATATTAGCGTGTAAGTTTAAACGGAAGTTAAAATATTTTGTTTTCAAAAATTTCCCACTATTCTACGAGAGACGAGAATTGTTATCAAATTCTATCGGATAGTTTGGTAAAATCTTTCTGTCAAGTTTCAGGGTCGAGATTTGTAGGCAAAATATCATCGGAAAAGCTCTGTTTTAGGAATATGTAGTAAACGTTTGAAGCAAAAATCGCTTAAATTTATAACTAGGGGAGAGAGATGCCTAAGCACCACAACTTGACGTTAAATTAAGGTTTATTTCTTTTCTCATCGTTATTAACAGCGTAATTCATTTACCAAATACAGATTTATACAACAGGTCTGAAGCCTTACCTTTTTATGTGAGCTATCTATAATATTCAGATAAGAAATCTCTCAAATACTCTAACAAACAAACTGCTACCCCTTCTTATTTTTCAAGCTTACTGGAAATTTTTTCAAAGCCCTATAAGTCGTTCTCATTTAAGGAAGAAAGTCAGTGTTAAAATTGTTAGACCATTTAAAGTCGATTATTTTACATCTTGTGGCTTCCATGTTACTCCGATTTGATATTTTAAGATTCATTGTAAGATATTTTGCTGTGGTATGATGAGTTTTTTAGCACCCTGAGACTAAGCGACAGATGGAACCACCAGTTTCATCGTGATAGAATAATAAAACATTTGACTGAAAACTTATTATCTGGTAACATTACATTGGTTATGTTATATGCCACTAGCTAGCTGAGTAGTTGCAAAATCATTCGAATGGCTACTTATATGTGCATAATCGTCCGGTATGCAGTGACTTATCCAAATCACTAGATATTTGTCGAACGGTTTTTTTGATTCTGTTCTCAAGGCTTGCTTTGAATCATTTTTGGTTGATTATCTAGTTTTATTCTCCATGAATTTTCAAAGAGGCGGAGTCGTTGTCTGTGTATTTAATTTTGTCGTAATTTCGTGTATCAATTAATGTTTCTTAACTAATCTGAAGCAGGTGTTCATACAAATAATATGTCGCTAGACAATTTACTCGATACATCCTGTAAAATTAGAGTTGAAAACTTCTTTAAACATTAGATTATCTAGAGTACTTTGTTTTAGATAAATAAAAAGCCTTCTTAATAAACAACTTGTTAACAAAATAACTCTAAAGTCTTGTTTGTTAAAAGTTTCTCTGGTTCAGATTTGAGTTCACGGTTTATAACTCATAAAAACAGCGAGGTAACAATTCTTTCTTGTGATTTCAATCACCTAATTAAGCATTTTATAGGGCCTTATTTGAAGTTTAAAACTTATTTCAAGAAAACCTTTTAAAAAATGATTGTTGACTATACTGATTGACTGCGTTAATTCAGTTATTTCTATTAAACCGTAAGAATCATTTACTTTTATATAAGATCCAATAACAAATGACCTTCATTAAAAATGAAATCAGCCCTTTTACACATTTGCAATTTTTTTTTCATAGAGACATTATCTGACTGTATATATTAAAATCCGTACTCAGAGTAACTGATAGCAAGGGTGCATGAAAGTACTTGTAATCAACCATAAAAATCTTATTCCTGTACAAAATCGATGCTTGTTTTCTGGGCTATTATTTGCTAGTGAAAGAGATTTCTAAGTGAGATCCAGTTATTTTGAACTTTTCACATGTATCTACAATAGTTGTAAATTGAATAATCAATACATATTAGACGTTAGTAAATGAATGACACAATGTGTTTGTGAATTAATTAGGTAGGAGTAACTGAAGACTATCCTGGAATTAATATAAAAATACCCAGTCTTCCCAAACAGTATAGTTTAAGGACCGGATTAAAGTGCATTTGTTATTAACTTTAGAATGTTGACTTTATAATTTTAAAAATTCTCATAGTGTAAATTTGATTAATACATGAGCAAACAATATTGCTTTCAACTGGGTCTGCTTTGGAGTTTACTCTAATGCGCAGTAATAATTCAAGTTAAAATATGATAAATAGTGAAAATAATGATATAGAAAAAGGGTATGTAGTGATAGAAGGGTGACACACAAAGTAATTAGTGTGTGAATGATAAACAGTGTAATAACACGAACATGAAAAATAGATCAAGGCTTTGAAAAAAACTTTGTGCGATGATAATTCCCAAAATGTATGTAATAAGGAGGAATGTGTGTGAATAACCCATTTAAATATGCACATGGTGAAGTAGAAATACCAGAAGGGAAGAAAAACATACAAACACTTCAAAGAATTGGTAAGATTGTATAAAAAATCTCATCTATCCAAAGAAGAAACAGGTGTTCTGCAAAATTCTTTTGGATAAAAAGATTAAGGTTGTTAACTTGCATCCCTACTGCTTTCACTGAGTTTGGCAAACTAGATTTTACCTCTTTGAGAAAACCTGACGGTATGCGATAGACTATTAAATACTCAGGTTTTACTTACTTCACGATCACCATGAGCTAAGTTTGATCGATTGGAGCTACTTACTGATTTTGAGAGAACCTTTTCAAACTCTAGACCTTATGATTCGGGAAAACAACATGTATTTCAAGCACAGATTTGACTCAATGTATTTTTAAAATCGTAATTCATTAATCGTGAGCTTGTAAAGCTAATATCAAATTCCTGTTCCTAAAGGTGCGTATATTTCGTGCTTAGTTTGCAATCTTCATTTTGGGAAATCATTCACTGATAAAAATATGTCAAACATTAGAAATATCAAACATTGGTTGGGATTGTCGTCATTTTGTGATGTCTTACTGATAATTGAATATTGCTCAACCAAAGGCGATAAAAGTTTGCACGTTTTCTTTATCGTTGCTTACTGAAAATGCGCGGATGAATTTTTTGGTTTGATAAAGGTTTCTACTGTAGCTCAAAGAGCTTCTTGTCATACCTGGGAGTTACTTTGTGACACGTCAAGTGAATCATTTGTAATAGTGTTTTGAGCTTAAAAAGTCACTTTCCAAACAAATATGTGAAATCGATTTTCGTCGATAATAATAATGCTCGTTTTATTGACTACCGTATGCCTTATCAAACTAGAAAAGAAAGCATATGAAACTGCTGCAAAATTTCTGTTTCATGAATACGTCCTGTGAGTATTCGGAAAATATATCTAGAAAGTCCTTAAAGAGGTTGGACGTCATTAATGCTTACGATCAATCTTGAGTCCCATAAAATGTTTTTCTATCGCTGAAAATAATAAAAGCTTGAATACAGTAGCAGTTTTTATTGTTAAAACCTACACTTTGGCCAATTTCTTTCTACCGTTAATACATCTTAATTGCCATTTATTTACATGTTCTTAATATTATAATAGTATGATCTTTTTTAGTAGATGTAGTGCTATATTCTAGTATTAAAGGGTATCGTATTATTATTTAGAGTATTCAGAATTCCTCTACCATATTGTATCAGTCACTCAGTCAGCTATAACGTAGAACTTCGTACGTACGTACATCATTTCAAGTTGCCATACTACTTTTTTGCATAAAGGCATGAAGATTATGACTGAAAACTTTAAAAAAATGCAGCTGCTTAGTTATACCAGTTCGTGGTAAATCCAGACATCAGTTTTAATTGATAATCAGCTTTGAAGGAAATATATATCAGATTAATGTCATTTGTAGTATCATTGAAAACCAGAATTTGCTGATCAAGTGTTTGGCCTTGGTTTGAGAATTTTCGCTAGTGTTAACCCATGACTTTATACCGAGACTGAATCGAAGACCTTCAGGTTTTGTGACAGACGCCTAACAACTAGGCCTTCTGAGTTATGGCGTACAGTGGTACAGTCTCGACTTCGATAAATTTATGATATGGCGCGATCGTCACCCATCATCATAACTGTTTCACTCATGGTATTTTTGAATTACACCACCTACGATTCAGTGATCCTAGGGTTCAATCGTTTTATGTGAGATCTGTACGTTAGGATATTTAGTTATCAGGTTTTTCTACTGACAGAAGAGACCATACATAATTATTGTTGAAGAGCTGTTTTAAAATACTTGCCGAATTTTTCCTAATTTTTGATGGCCTGTTAGCTGTTAGGCGTACATTTCCTTTGTGACTACTGGTATTTTTGAAGTTTTTGAACAGTTCTACAGAAGTATGAAGTAAGAAATGTATAGCTTATTGTGTTTTAGTTTAATATATTTGACATATCTAGTAATTATATCTGCTTATTGATTTGTCTTTTTGTGCAACCACCACGGTAGATGTCTTTTAAAGTGTATTTTGATCGGCGGCTCAATTATTTTTAGTTTTGCCTTTTACTCTCTGACTGGAAGTCTCACCAAAAACATCAACAAGACAATACGTTTATTTCGTTTTGTTCAGCTTACTTTCGGGCACTTTGCACACTGATTTGTTCACTCTGCAACTGTTGATTTTTTATAGAGGATAAAATCCCGGCACTTCTAGAAGAAGCTGGTGATTGGATGAAATTACACTTATGTCAATCGGATTGTTATTTGCGTCTAACAACAGATCGTTTAGAAGTTTTGGACTTTTACAGTCATAAACCTGTACATTGGTTTCCTTATCTATTAATACGTAGGTAAGTCTATAAAACAACATTTAATTATGGAACTAATTATTATTAAACCACATTTATGGAAGTAACATTAGTTAACTGCTGTCACATTTATACTAATTGAATTATTACTTACAGATTTGTTTTGGATTACTGTATATCATGAATAAATATTCATTAAAACATAGTTGAATAGGTTTCGCTAATCTTCAACACTTAATTTACTTATATCAGTCTTTTTGTTCATATTCTCCTGTTGTTAAATGTTTAGAGAAAATGTCCAGTTTGTAATAATGATCAATCGTATAATTTCATTTATTATTTTATCATTATTATTTAATAAATGTCATTTCATTTTTAAGTAATCTGTTTCAGTGTAATAATATCGACTTCAAGTTATGTATACCAGCTTTATATTGAAAATTTATTCATTAAACAATCACGATGATTCCATTAATAAATCATTCTCTGTGTAACTAAAATGTTTTTTAAACGATGTAAGAGGTAATCTATAATTATGAACTTTACTGAATGAAAAAAATAGATCTTTACTTTTGTTACTTTATTTTTTTTTGTATATTCTGGCCACATATGGACATATTACGGTTCATGAAATTTATGGATATATGTTTAATTAGTTAAATACATATTCGTTGTATATGTTAATAAAAGCTATCTACTGATGTCGTTGTTCTAGGATGGCACCGATCAGCGTTGCGCAATCACAATTAAAGTTAGACATTAACATTGTTGGATGCCGACCCAATGGTCTGGAGGTTAGGCGTTCATGCACGGAACCGAAGGTCCTGAGTAGCATTTCTGCGAGCGTTGGTCGTTGGTGTGCACTACTGATGAGTCTCGTGCTAGAACGAGATGGCAGTTAGATAGTTTCAGGTTTTTAATGGCGATCTTACAATGATCGATTAATAAGCTCACTGAAACCCTATAATAAATATTTATTTTTACTAAATGAATTAACAATAATAACTGAATGGACTTTTTTTTACACACTATCATATGATCTAAATTGATTATAGAAGTTATTTAGTTTGTTAAATAGTTTTGGTCTTAATCAAATAATGTTTATCAGTTTGTTCATGTAATTTGTTTTCTTAAAATTAACGATGAAATCTTCAGCAATTCTGAGAAGATGGAAATTTGCTGTCGTTTACAAGTTTTTATTTACTCTTAGAGTCGAGTTTATCTTGATTGAATGACCCATGTTTTCACACGAAAGTTTATCCTTCAGGTAATCGATGAACATAAGTGAATTAAAGAACAATAGCCTCAACGTTGCCATGAAGAACATTCTTTCAAGCGAGTTAGAATTCTTCTCCAAAATTCCCTCACCTCTGTCATCTATGAAATCGATTCTCATTACAAACATTTATATTAGAATAGAGTTTGTTTGATTTTTTGGAATGCTTCAGTTTTATGTTCTTGTTAATTGGCTTTGGTTGTTTAGTTTCTTCAATCTTCAGATTGCAAATTCATTAGATTCATATGATAGAAGATATGATGATGAAATTAATCTTTCTACTAATAGGAATTCAAATTTTGAGGATTTTTAGTTAGTTGATCAGTCTACATAGATTTTATGTAAATAAATCTTAAATCTTTATCATCTTTTCCTTTCATTTACGCCATTCATAAAGTGAATGTTTAATTTTCAGTCATCAAGAGTAGATATTATTGTTTGATGAAAGTTGTTACAAGCTTCTACAATCTGACTCGTTACATTATCACAACCATAAATGCATACTCTGTGTACTTTTTCTACTGGTAAAAGTTGTCGATGCTTAGAGTATTTTTCTTTTTTCCTTGTCTTTTGAATTAGATTTCGTTTGGACGTCAACATTTTATCTTGTTTTCCACTCCATAGCTTCGAAAAATGACCTATGAAAAGAGAAGATTCATATATTATTGGCTGTAGGTTTTCGCTTGTCATTCGTGAAACAATTAAACAGGTGATACCGAGAACAGACATAAAGACTAGGTAAAGATGAAAAATCAGTTGATGAGGTTGTGGAGTTTTATCGACAGAGTTGGTTGCTCATGATAAACTGTCACCCACTTCGACAAGCAATATTTGCTAGTATTAAAGTAAGTTAGGAAAAACTTAAGATCGTTCAAGCCTGAACGTACTACCAGTTTATGAGTTCATCAACAATTGTTCTATGCCATGTTGATAAGTGTTAACTGTTCAGTTAGGTTGGTGCAAGTAGCATGATCAGTGGTCAGAGTATTGGGTGAAATGACTCAAACTCGGTCACAATAGCACTGTTACATTCACTATTTATTTTTCATTAGATCTGTTCAAAATTTCATTCTCTTTTTACACATTGAAATCCTTAATCAATCATATTCATACTCTCTTCATACATCATTCATTTTCATCTTGTAATTCAAATTATATTCTCAGTGTTTTGTCCTTCATTGCGACTTCATTATTTTAATCCCTTCACTACTCCATCGTGCTTATTTTCATGTCATTGGGCTAATATGATATGGTGACTTGGGCCAATACAAATGTGTGCCACGCTCTATATTGATTATGACTAATGCATATACATCATTATTCTATTTGTTAACTTCAAAAATTAGTATGACTTCATCACACTGATGTCAAAATCACAAAAGTGCTAACTAGATATGTAGCCAAAATTCAAAATCAGTATTTTCATATCTACTGGAGTTATTTCTTCAGGTTACTACCATATTAAAATAATGATTTTTTATTCAAGTAACCAACACATTCATGTGATTTTATTCTCATCAATTTTCCTTATTTGCTTTACAAATTCTACTTACATCCCATAACTGTGGTGTTGTATATTGTCGTAAAGGCTATCAACTAATTTCATATTCTTGTAAGGTTTGTTTTATGCTCAATTAGTTGAGTACACAATTAATTGGTTGTTTATGTATGTTCGTGTGGATATGTGTGTTTTTACGTGTAGTTATCGCACGCTCTTGTCTGTCAACTTATATATTGTATTGATCTCTTTCTATAGGTAGATAGGTTGGTAGATACTTGTATCCAATACTCTCCACCTGCAAAAAATCTATTTATTATCGATTTAGTGTTTTACAAAAAATACATATTCACTGTTAATGCATGGAATTCAATTTATGCTGCTACATTCTTGATGAATTGTGTAAAACAATAAACAGTGTTCTCTTTATAAATATGTATGTATGCACTTTTATAAAAGCAATTTTTAGTTCAAACTAACTTACCAATACATATTCTATACTTTCTTTAATTTTGTCCTAATAAGAGATGTTAACTAGTCAAGCTGTATTGCGTTTCTTTATTTTTCACTTGCGTATATAAATCTTATCTAAAGCTCATATTATGATATACAATCGCCATTCTAGTTTTTTTGGTTTGATACAAAGAGTTTAACTGGTCGATAGAAGATACCTTAAGTTAATTATTGTTATATATGAGAAAAGATAAATATTCCTATACAAATTAATTAATTAGAGTTGTACTTTCAGTGATGACGATTGTATATAAAAGAGCTAGGTAGATGAATAAGTAACACTGATCAGTTAATCAGTTGTAATAATCTCGGTCCTACAGAAAATTTATTGCTACTCGAATAACTCAGTTATGACGTCTACAGCTGACTTCGGTTTAAACTCAAGAGGGAGGCCTCAGTAACTTGAAGATTGGAGGTACGCCTTAATGGCGGTTGTCAAATACTGGATCTAGCTTTTCGTTCCGACTACCTCTAGTCTAACATAGTGCACGTGATGTAGAATTACTTGGATTAGTGGAAACATTGCAACTTGATAGCTAATCAGTGATTTATCAGTCTTCTATTGAAGTGACAATTTTTATCAGATTATTACATCCAGTGAGGAGAAGACTGTCATTTCGAAACAATATCACGTAACAAATAGATAAATTGTTGAATATGTGAGTTCTTCCTGACTACAAATAACTAGTTACAATGCTTACAAGTTCTTTAGTACTTCGCCAAATGTGATGTGCTTGTTGCTATCCAAAGCAGACTTGGAAGATAAACCTTGTAAGGTGTTTAAGTAACTTAAATAAGAATTCAAACATTTATTTTGGTGGTGAAGGTTTATCAGTTTTTAACTTACTCAGCTATTAATCCTGTCTAAATAAAAATTTCATTATCACTTTTCTTCACTCACAAATGTTTCACGGATAACACGTACGTTTAACTGAGGTCACAAAATAACCCGGGTTAGACAACTTAGAAAAAATTTAAACCATCCTGATATAAGTAATTCCACTATCGCACATCAACGACTCCTTGGAGGTCGAGCCCACAACTTTAAGATCCTGCAATGAAAGCTTAATGTTTAGACTACCAAACTAGTACCCAGAGGTTAACATGTGTAAATCCAATCAGTTGGTATCATTGCTTAGTTAGAAATGTAAGCCATTGATTCTCGGTTCAGTGTCTAGAAGTTTCATCGTAAAATCTTGAAAGTTGTGTGAGCCTTAACCTAGGGGTGAGAATTACCATATCAGCATAAAATAACTGCTCAATACTTCCAGGTTTGTGTTAGTTGTCTTGTTTATGTTGGATTATGATATCAACAGTATTTAATATTCTTCACAATCCTCCATGCTATTACATTTATTTATGATGTACTTAAAACAACCTTTATTATATAATGCGTCTAGTTATATTAATCTCCAAGAATGGAGTACACATCTTTTAGTCTTCAATAAATCTCTTTAGCTTATAATTGACTTGACAGAAAAAAATTATACAATAAAAGTTGATACATTATTTTTCACACTTAATCTCACTACATAATCTAATTTTACAATTTCGGTGAAATTATTTAGAAAGCATCTTAGTGATCAAATTAAAACTTGTCAACAGTTTTTAAATTAATTGTTTGTCAATCTTATTAGCACCCATGTAAATATATTTTTTTCATTATGATTCAAAAGTAACAGAGTTACAGACTACTTACTGTATTGTGTATGGCATATCTCACTTTATTTTTTATGAACAATTTTCTACCTTTTC